TCTCACCATTAGAACATTTTATCATCGTGGAGCACAATAATCAAAATTTGTCAGATATTCGTTATATATGACAATGCTTGTTCAACTGCATATATCAAGGCAAAATTATTTGGGAGAAAACAGAAAGATAAATATAGTATAAAACAGTTTCGTGTGTCATTATTAATTTAGGGTTTAAATTATGTGACTAAGGAATTTGTCAATTTTTGTTACTTGCGATTTTGATGAACATCCCTTGTAATTTTAATTGTCTAATTTTGCAGAAAAACAATAGCTACTGGAACTACTGAACTATATTTGCAAGTACAAAACATTTCAGTTACAGTTCGCCATCTTCATTGATCCGTTAAAACTTTTCTTATTTTCATTCTTCTATTTTTTAATATGATCCGATGTATTGAACTGGCAATAACTTAACATTTGGGTAGTTACTAGAAGTGCGCATTAAAAAACTTAGGAAACAGAAGTTGGTGATAGTAAGTTTTTGACTTAGTCTGATACTCTGAAATCCAATGTCACTAACATCAAATTCTTAATTTTATATAAGATCTTTTCTTTCTTCATTTCTATAAAGGGATCATTTATTCATAGTATAGGGTTGTGAAGATTGTTAAGTTTTGATTGAGATCATCAATCAATCTAACCTAGATCACCATTGGAAACATGGAAGCAATAGACGGACGATTCGTCCTAGTATGGAACTCCACAACAGTGCACATCCATAATCCATCATGTGCGACTCAAACATAGAACCTTTGATGTGGCGCGTGAACACGTAACTTCTAAACCACTGAACCGCGATCGAACGGTGTCATTGTCTAACTTCAATCGATCCATGATCTTACGCCACCCTTCACAGATTACTGTTTACCGTTTGAATTACTGGATTTTCTAATAAGAATAGAATGTCTACTGAGAATGAAATTTTTCATAGAAAAATATCCATTATAATGTTTGAGTGAAAAAAGTTTTATTATTGGAAAAAAGCAAGAGTGTTAAAATAAAGTGATAGGACAGGTATGCTCTTATCATTAATTTGTAATGACTTATGCATTTGTTTTCCAAAACTATTGTTATTGTTTTTCGAAGAATTACTTCAGTTCATCATGTTATTCTTCATTTGATAGTTTATAAATACTACAATTTAGTGTGAAGTGTAAAGTTCAAATTAGGAGGGAGGAAGGGAGGGAGGCATGGGTAAAACTACTTAAAAAGTACGTATATACCAGCATGGATGAATCAACCAGATATAAGATAACGAGTAAATGAATTTTGGCACGAAATTCATTCATACATTTATTTAAATAGAGTTTTGGCATTATAGTTGATATCAGTTCGTGATAAAAACCCTTGATCTAACTTTTAACATTAACCATCAAACTGTAAATCATAATTTTAACTGGTTTATAAACCTTATTATTATTATTTTAACACATAGATATTGGTACAAGGAGGCACCAAATACATATGTGCCACACAAATATCATTCGATATGTGTGAGGGCTGTAATACTGCCCTGGTGCCCAAACCGAAGCAGGTGGTTTTCTTAGGGGGCCACACCCCGAGCCTTCGACCTGAAGGTCTGATCCACAAGGCAGTGGAGCATCGTAAGGAGATGCAGTCCCATGGAAGCCGGTGACCAACAATTGGTTCAAACGCCATTTGTTCCCTCAGGATCCTGGAGCCCATGTGCACCATTGGTTTGGAATCCGGTTAAAGCGCCGGACATTCACTTTTCATCCTCTTATTTTCGTAAACAACGCCCCCGCCACGAGAAGGCAGTGAGTAGGACTTCCCTGGCAGAGGCTATATACGCGTGGCCATGTGAGAGTATTTCGAGAGGGAGAGCGGACTCTCCCCACTCTCGGCCGTACCAGGGCATTTGGGATGTCTATTCTCAAGGTTAGTTCAAAGTCGCTTCAAGGTCGTCCATAAATTATAGTCTCACCGGACAATCTTTTATCTGAAAGTATATATATTTGTATACATTTATGCATCTTCATACATACAAATCATATTGAGTTCCTTTATCTGTATCTATGTGTTATATGTTTTGTTCATTTACATAAATGTCTAGTTTCAAAAAATATACAGTACAGTATAGAATTCAGAATCATTATCTCTTGTTAAAACTGAGGTAAATCTAGTGTTTAATAAATGAAATGGAATTGAATATGAAACATTCTTCTAAAATCTAAGAATAACAACAACAACAACAACGAAACCAACAAAATATGAAAAGAGACATTTTAGTGTAATAAGAAACGAAAAACAAATATTCCGTGTTTGATGAACACTTTGTTGATTCTTTTTTCTCTTCTTCTTCTTCTTCTCCTTCTTCTCCTCCTTCTTCTTCTTCTTCTTCATTCGATCGACTCATTCATCCATTTATTTGTTTACATGTTTATTTATTCACAGTTCTTGTTATTTATTTCTTTATTTTTTTGGGGGGGAATATGAAAATACTGAAAGTAAATTGAGTGAATAAATACTTATGAACAAAAGAAAAAAGAAAGAAAATTAGTTGAGAAATAGTGAGAAATGTAAAGTAAGAGAGCGAGAGAGTGAGAGAGAGAGAGAAATAGTTTGTCTGTTTGAGAGGGGAATAGAAAGAGTGAGAGATAGACGGAGAGGGAGAGAGAGAGTAGAAAAGATAAAAAAAAATGAAAAGTAAGGAAAATAAACTCTTGCATAAAAATGAAATTTCCTGACACGAAACAACCTTTAAAAAAATAACTTATTTTACTATTATCTAATTGGTCAACTAAGTCCATTAGTTGGTTGTCATGACATTGTTGGTAAGTAGTTGTCAAGGTTTCCAAAGCTACATATATATTTATGAAAAAAATTTTTGTAGGGAGATGGGCTTCAATTGCAGATTGTCTTTTGAGGAAAAAAAATACCATAACAGAGGAAAAAAAGATAATTAAACTCTGGAAAAACCCACATCAATAAGGCAAACAACAAAGAAAGTAAAAAGGTTGTTAATTAAGTTTTTACGGAAAAATTAAATTTATATATACATATATATTAAAGCAATTTATTATTGTTGACCGCTTATCTCTCTTTATTCATTTAATCTTGATGTACATTTAACTAGGGCAAAGTAGAGGATATTTAATTCAGAACATTAATGTAATATATACATTGTAATTTAACCACACAATTATGTTGATATATATAGTGTATAGTATATATTTCCCTACGTACATGTTTATATAATTGTCTATGCGGAAATTTATCAGTTTAGATATACACCTCAATTAGAAAAAAGTGGTGAATAAATTAATCTTATTAGTATTAAGATCTCAAATAGACTTAAATTAAAGTTTCCAAAGTAGAGAGAGAGAAAGAGCGAAAGAGAGAGCAAGAGAAAGAGAGAGAGAGAGCAATAGAGCAAGAGAGCACGAGAAAGAGAGAGCAAGAGAAAGAGGGAAGGAGAGAGAGAGAAGGAAAGATAGAAAGAGAGTAAGTAATACATTGATATATTAATTATATTAGTTTATAAGTAATTAACTTTCTATTGCTTTACAACAATGAATAGTATAAATGAATTAAGTAGTAAACATTCTTTATTCAATATAATTACACATTTTCTTTTAAAAAAAACAATATTTTTAACTAGTAGATAATTAATTATTCATAGTGTACTCTATTTGTATAAAATTTTAAGTAAATTTCTCACTTATGATAAATGAATTTCAATTTGCTAACTGTAATAAATTCTAGTTTATATATCCTTAGTAGTATGTATTTCATGAGATCTTGTTTATGATGTAGGAACTCTTAACTATGTACTGACTTACATACTTACGCCTGTTACTCCTAATGGAGCATAAGCCTCCGACCAGCATTCTCCAACCCACTCTGTCTTGGGCCTTCTTTTCTAATTCCATCCAATTCTTATTCATTTTTCTCATGTCTATTTCCATTTCCCGGAGTAATGTGTTCTTTCGTTTTCCTCTTCTCCTTTGGCCTTGAAAATTTCATGTGAGAGCTTGTCTTGTGATGCAGTTCGGTGCTTGCCTCAATGTGTGTCCTATCAACTTCCAGCGCTTCTTCCTGATTTCTTACTCTGCTGAAATCTGGTTTGTCCTCTCCCACAGTAGGTTGTTGCGTAGACAACTGTTAAGAAATACTTGTATCTTCTGGATGTTGGCTTTCGTAGTTCTCCGGGTTTCTGCCCCATACAGTAGAACTGTCATGACATTTGTATTGAAAATCCTGACCTTAGTGTTGGTTGACAGTTGTTTTGAGTTCCAGATGTCCTTCAGTTGTAAATATGCTGCTCTTGCTTTGCCGATCCGCGCTTTCACATCTGCATCAGATCCAGCATGTTCATCAATGATGCTGCCCAAATATGGAAAGGTTTGTACATCTTCTAAAGCTGCTCCGTCAAGTTTGATCCGATTAGTGCATGTTGTGTTGTATCGGAGAATCTTGAATTTCCCTTTTTGTATGTTGAGACCTACTGCTGCTGCTGCTATACTGGTCGTTTTCTCCTGCATTTGTAGTTGCGTGTGCGATAGAAGAGCCAGATCATCTGCGACGTCTACATCGTCCAGCTGCATCCTAGCTGTCCACTATATTCCATGTTTCTTCCCAAATGTTGACGTCGTCACGACCCAGTCGATTAAGAATACTTTATTAGAATACAATATTTCAATAATAATATTATGTAATGAATTGGCTATTAATTAATTAAATTTCAGTGAGGACTTCAACACTATTGAGAATAAGGTAGTTAGCCATTAATGGATTTCAACTGATTCCTCATTAGATTACAAATTTATATATTCAAAGACGTCTGACCGTTCATCTTAGTATCTTATTAACTTTCTGTTTTATTAATAAAATAGAAACTGCGTTAAATAATGTGCTATGTCAAGAAAATTGTGTGTTTCAAAAGTATTGAACGTTATATCAGTAAAATTTAATAGACTGATTCTCTCTTCTACAAATTTGTTAATGATAATTAGTATCATGTTCTTAAACAACAAATGTTTGAAGTAAGCGAATGTGCTCTTCTATTTAATTGGAATAAATCATTGAGTTTTGTTTTTGAATAAGTGTTCAAATGAGATAACTGGGCAGCATAATCTATGAACAAAGAGGATCGGATGTAGATGTGAAGGCGAGGTTTAGCAGAGCAAGGGCGGCATTTCTACAGTTGAACAACATACAGAACTCAAAACAACCGTCAACCAATATCAAAGTTTGAATCTTCAATACGAACGTCAATATAGTTCTATTGTATGGAGCCGAAACTTCAAGAACTACCACAACATCATTAATAAGGTACAATTATTTATAAATAACTGTCTACACAAGATACTAAGTGTTCGTTGACCGGATAGTAACAGCCTACTATGGGAGAAAACGAACCAACTTCCATCTGAAAAGAAAATTATGGAAAAACAATAAGAGTGGTGGATAGGAAATACATTGTGAAAATCATCAGACTGCATCATGAGGCAAGTGCTAACTTAGAATCTTGAAGGAAAAGGAAAAAGTGAAAAACCAAGGAACACATTGATCTCGGAATCGGAAGAAGGAATAACAACTGGAGATAATTGGGAAGGCGAGCTGAAGACAGAGTTCGTTGGATAAACCTGATGGGTGGCCTATGCTTCTCCTCGTGGGTTAACTTGAGTATTTCAGGAAATGAAGGGAAGTCTAGTTGGTTGAATTTATACATTAACACTAATGGATTCCGGCTCAGTGGTCTGGAAGTTAAGCGTTCACGCGAGAGACCGATAATTCTTGGGTTCGTGTCCTGCATGCCGGCTCGTGGATGCATATTGCTAAGGAGTCCCACAATAGAACGAAACGGTCGTCTAGTGCTTCCAGGTTTTCCATGGTGGTCTATCTTCAATTGACTCATGATCTCAACTGTTTTGGAATTCTTAGAAAAAATGTGATTATGTTTGTTTATAGTCAAAATATTGACTACGAGATTGCTTTTCTGTTCAAATTTATTGCCTGTAAAATGTTGATTTTTTTTGGAAACAATGAATTGATAGAGCAAGACAAAACTGTACTCATTAAAAGTAATTAAGCCATCAATATGTGGTTATAACTTTACACAATTGTCTTACGTTATAACTATTTAATGAATTCTGTCAATTAATTTAGAATTGGCAAATTAGATTGTTTATGGCTAATCTGTAGATAGTTTTTAAATCTTTCATAAACTTTATAAGTAAATTTAGCCTTAAAACAACAGTCATAGATTATGACAAGTATCGTATATGAGACAGATATCAATGAATTATAGTCTCATCCGATATTGTAACTCAATTATTTATTGCAGTCATCATTTGTATTTGTCTCAAATGTGATAATTGTATTAATCCACAACTGTAGTCGTAAAGCGATGAGACTATAATTTATGGAAGAGCATTAAGCAACAAAAAAACTCACCTTGAAAATGTTCACCTACTTTCTAGGGCTAAATGAGGGTTATAAACCAGTGTGAGGAATTAGAATGATGAGCTACAGTTGATATTTAGGGTTGGGAAATAGATTAAGGGTTTACATCACAAACTGATATCAACTATAATGCCAAAACTCTATTTGGCCAAATGGATGAGTGAATTTCGTGCCAAAATTTAAGAGCTGTTATCTTATACGTGATTGGTTCGTCCATAAATTATAGTCTTGACCAATATCATGAATTAACTGATGTTAGAAACTTTAAAAAAAACATTAAGTGCTATGACAATGGTTTATCGTTTACCACAAGAGTTGATTGTTCTGTATCCAATCTCTAGTGGGATACAGAATATGCATTGATAAGAAATCTTTATATAGGACAAAAACAGAAGTTCATTACTGTTCACTTTTCATTGTTTATCTAGTCAGAGTCAGTCTCCTAAATAATTTAAATAATGAATAATCTCTTCAAATATCTTATACTATTAATAATCAAATCTTTTGTTTCAATACTCAACAATAAATATAAACCTGCTTCAAGGGTGTAATTGTTTTTGGATGAGAGTTTAAAGTTAAGACTTTTAATAGTAATTTCAATGGTTAAGATCATGAGTCAGTTGAAGCTAGACCATCATGGAAAGCCTGGAAGCACTGGGCGGCCGTTTTGTCCAATTGTGGGACTCCTCAGCAGTGTGCATCGACGACCTCACCGCCTGCGAGTTTCGAGACTAGGACCTGCTGGTTTCGCACGCGAGCACTTAACCACTAGGCCACTGAGGAGTTCCACAGTAAGACGAAACAGCCGTCCAGTGCTTCCAGGTTTTCCATGGTGGTCTAGCTTCAAACGACTTATGATCTTAACCACTGAAATTACTATAATATTCAGAAAACCCATCTGGTTCTAATAGTAAGTTAATATAAACATAAAAATGATGAAATGTATACCTGATCTTAATAGTTAGTTTTTTTATATACAAATAAGTATACAGACTTTTTATTAATCAAGATCCAGTTGTATTTTACTCTGAAACAATTAAGTGGAAGATAACATACATTATTTGTTACGTTTTTTTGATGGAGTTTTGTTCTCTGAGCTGGATGGTTTGATCGTGGAACTTTCATCGTTCTACTGAACGACATCATCAGCACAAACTTCTATCAGCTCAGAGAACAAAACTCCATCAAAATTATCCACCTGAGCTACAAATCTCCACCATCTCATTATTTGTTACTGACGGATAGTTTTGTCAACCATTTATCACAGTAGATAATTCAAAAACAAAATTAATTAAATATGTTTGATTGAGATAAATATTTTTAAAAAAATGAAATAACGGTTTACTTAAGTCATCGACTATCAAAATTTATCGTTTTTTCTATACAATTAGAGTTCGAATGTTGTAAAATAATGAATGGCATGATGTATACTACTTATATTTGCGGATATAAGTAGCAGGTAACATCATTTTAAAGAAGAATGCATACCAGTAGAATGTTGAGAAAGTCGAATGGAACAGAACAGGAATGTAAATGGAAGGTAATTGTAATAACAAAAGAACTGAAAGATCATGAAGTATATGAAGAACAGCTAATGGAGGTTGTGCAAATTGTATGTTTAACGTATGGTTAACATATTTTTGAAAGCACTCTGTAATCTCCCACATTCGAATTCTTTGCTCATAGCAATAGTAGTTCGAAATCAGAAATGATTAGTTTTACATTGAGTTCAAAGCTTAACAAACCTTTTTATTTTATATACTTAGCTTTTTTTCTTCTGTTAAACATATAAAAAATCAGAAGGAGTTTTGTGGATATTATAGCAGTTTTATTAATTGAGATCATTAGTCAATTAAAACTAGATCACTATGGAAAACCTGGAAGCGTTGGACGGCCGTTTCGTCCTATTGTGTGACTCCTACATGGCAGTACTCATCCACGATCTCACCGCGCGAGATTCAAACCCAAGACCTATCAGTCTCGCGCGCGATCGTTTAACCATTAGGCCAGTGAGCCGGCATTCATTAGTGTTGATGTCTAACTTCAACTAACCCACAAAAATTGCTTATTCCCATGTTTATGTCCTTAAATAACAAACAAACGAACATGCATATAAAATAGAAGTACAATCGATAAAGGCGGTAATTTAATTGTCCTTCAATTGATCAGCTATTTGTTAATTGTTTAAATATACCGCTTTCATTTAAATACACATATAGTAGAACAAGTAAATAAACAAAAGTTGTTCTACTAATAACATTGAACAGATAGTTTTACTGGTAATCAATCGTTTCATCAACTTAGTATAATTTTCTTTTGTAAATAATGATAGACTTGTTATTATACACAATTCAATGCTTCTTAGAAGTAGAAATGAAGCATGTTAGGTTTTACTTAATGAAATGTTGTTTTTTAATTATTATTTTAATTGAACTGTTGAAATAGCTCACTTGTTGTTCTACTTGTATCTTCTGGTTTTTATTTGGGATTGCATTTAATCAGTCTTAAAAAAACTTGTGACTTAGGGCTATATCGAGACGATCCGCACAAGATGCACATATGCTAACATGACACTGATCAATTACAGTCCTAAATAACAATAGGAAGATACAAGTAAAACAACACCAAGTGAATTTAAACTTCACCCCATTGCACAAACAGGTGACTATCAGAACTCAGTAGCTAAGTGGATAACGCGATGGTGTTTGAAGCGAACGATACTGGGTTAGAGTCGCGGAGTAAACATCAATTCTGGGATGCAGTTACATCCAGTTGACTAGTCCCAAATAGGACGAACTGGATTCCATTGACAGACGCTATCCATCTTTGTGACTTAAGCGTATATCGAGGCAATCCGCACAGGATGCACATATGTCAACAAGCGATCATTTGCAGTCCTAAATAACAATAGGAAGATGCAAGTAAAACAACACCTAGTGAATTTAATAATGATTGCAGTAATAGTAATCATAATAATAGTTTCCAGTAGAAACGAATTGAGTTATTGACAATGGTCTACTAATGATTCATTTTCGTCTTTAACGATTGGCATTTATAGGTGAATTAATAAAGGTCAACTAAATGAATGTTCGAGTAAAAAAAGGTAAAAATTAAATCAAAGAATCTACTCGGTTATCAGAATAATTGCTTCCGAGCAATGAAACATTCTAATCTATGTAACTAGTAACTATCATGTTTCCTTATGCTGAATAGTTAACAGATTAACTTAGAGTTGCTATACAATATCTGGTATTTGAATGATTGAACAATCCATATAGATAGGTACTTTTCAGTTACCTATGAAGGTCATTGTTCATTTTTATGATAATAATTATAATTATAATATTTCTCTGGGAATACACTACGATGGTTAATAGACGAGATAACTACAAATAATAGATGGACATTAAGTTGATTCAATCCAGGGTGACTTTAAGTATTCGACAGGGAATCTAGGCTTCATGTTAATTAGTTCTCGCCAACTTGCTTGACCCGTAATATTGATGGGACTGATAAATTTAAAAGCAGGTCAATTAGTATCATAGCCTCATTCTTAACGATTGATGAGTTTGAGGCT